AAGGAAACCGACCCACAAAAAACCACGACACATATCGATCATCCCGCATAAACGCTAGCTTGAATAATTGTCGACCTCCTTGGAGGATTGAAAAAGGCAACATTCAAATGACAACATGAAAAGATCTCGACACTTCAATCTAAATACAGAGCGACACGGAACGGAAAAAAGATTCTTGAAGGATTTAATGATAAAAAATGACGACAAGACCACAAGTGCTTTTAACCGAGCGTATCAAGCATGAAATTAAAAAAATGGCCAAGGATGGAAATATTTAAGGCTTGTCCGCAAGATTCTGTACGGTTTATCAACGCAGTTATTTGTATTAGTATTACATAATAATTATGAAACTCGCTTAGATAAAGAAGAGAGTTTGCCCTGTACAATTCACTGCACTACAAATTCTGCACTGCTGCGCAAAAATTGCACACAAGGTAGCCGACTACAAGAGTCTCTTATAGTAACGAGAGATGAAATTCTTGTCAACTCTGGGTTTCTACACTTTGGTCCAACAAGCAACCCTTTTTTAAGAGAGTTCATCAAAGGGGACATACAGCTTACAGAAAATGCTTTTGTCGTCTTTAAAACAAGGCCTGGATTTTTTGCAAAATCTCGCATCCAATGTCCTTTAGGATTCGCGTATTTTGTCTAATTGTCTCATTTCTTTGATATTTCGATGTTAATGGTTGTTGCGAGTGACACCTTATTTAGAATTGCTTACAAAAAATGATCAAAAAAAGTAGAATATAGTACTGTTGCTGTTAGTATTACACTTCACCTCTTACAATTATTGTTACATGTTGGTGACGTCACTACAAAATTTTGTAATGGAAACATTCACTTGAAACATGCGAATAGCATGCTTCTTTATATTTACTTTACTACACAGATATCTTAATTTTAACTTATAGAGGTTATCATAAAAAATAAATAAAATTCGCAAAATCGAATTTAATATTTTCAAGCGTTTGGAGTATGAATCATTTTTACATTTTTTGATCACCCTGTATAACAAAAACCGAGCAATGTTTTCTGGGCCAAACTTGGCTGGTGTAAACGTCGATTTGCTTTATTTATTTGCAGACTATTTAAAAAACCTAAATCTTATTATAGTATACATCAACATGTTAGCACAGATTCGCCAGTGTTAAAGTCATTATCGTCTCATCATTACAACGCGTGCAACTCTGTCCAAATAAACTAAATGGAAGCAGACACAAGCAAGCCGCAAGCGCTCATAAAAATTCAAAGAGTGACCGCAAAACCAAATAAAAAAGGAAAAAATAAACGCCACATGAATTGCTTAAACTTAAAGACGTTTAGTACTTTTAAGGTCCTGGATGTGTTTGTGTCACTTTTAAATTGTCTATTCTTGTCTGTGCGTGTCTACAGACATAACTTACACGTCGAAAAATATTCAGTTTTACGAATTCTATCGACTAAAGCACACTATGAGATACATTCGCGACAGCAAATTGTGTTGAAAAATTAAAGAAACAATAAACACTTTTCGAAATAGTTGTTAACTAATCGTTCCAACACGATGTGCACATGCAACTGCACACTAATAAGTTACATAATATAAATTATTTTTTGTTAACAAACTGTTTTATTTCACAGAGTTTGGAATGTACCAATTGGGGCGAAAAAACTATGTAAACAATTTAATTTAAGGCATATACCTTGGCTATGTACAAAATACTTTCCTGTAGAAAAATTAATGAACGAAAAAAGTGCCACTATGGAACTTAAAATTGAGTACATTGCACTAAATATCGTGACCAATTTTTCCTGCTTTAGAAACAACTGCTTAAAAGCGAAATTTAATATTCATTTCCTGTGAAAGGTGCCTTCCACGCTATTTTACATTGAAAACAGGTGGGAAAATACAATGCGATTTGGGAACCGACCTCAAACAATTGATGGCAATTATAATTTTCAAATTCGTCGCCTTTCTACGTCCTATGTTTGATTCAAATGACTACACAAAATTCGCAGAAAACAATTTATGTCGAGTATTTGGCCACGAGGATTTTTCTCGCAGTATTTATTATGGTCTGAATTTTGACACCACATCAACAGAAAAAGTGTGATGAGAAACATGAAAATTCATGAGTTTTATCAGTTTGTGGATATATTACAAAAAAAAAGATAGGTACGTGTATGGCGCAGACATAAAAGTAAAATGGCTTTCGTAAACTTCTCTTGTAAAGCAAAACCAATTTTATATCTTATAGCGGACGGATTTTTACTTCCAGAGCGGATCTTATGAAAAACGTCATCAACTTTTTAATGCGGAAAACTGTTATTAGTTATCTACTACATTTAAAAAACAAAAATCATAGATTTATTGACCAGTTTATGCGATGGGTCAATTCATAATGTATGTATGATTTAACATTAAACATTAAGTTACCATAAAAAAATCATTCTATAATTACTTTGTATAATATCTCTCGTACATAAATTTTAAAACTGATTCATCATTTAAACACTATTATACGTCATCAATTTCTTGAAGATAATACCCCACTGCACCATGGAGATGTACAAACCGTGTCGGGAATAAAACGTTATTATACCTTGCAAATGTTTTTGCGAAAATTTGAACGTTTAGCGAAAAAACAAAGTGGATTCGTACACTATAAGTATATAACTATATTTTTGTGTAACATTCAAATCATTTTAGAATACCGTTCATTGAAATGACATCATCCAATCGTTGGTGGGGATGGTTAGCATTTAACCATCGACATGATATTTCTAATATACATACAAAATTTGACAACAATCGGTCCAGCAGTTTCGGAGATTACGTGTCTAATAAAAATGGATACACACAGACAGACAAACAGACAGACAGGCGGAAGCGAGAGACTACTTTTTTCGTACTGTAGGGGTCATGAAACGTCGAAAAAACATAAAAGTGGCAATTCGTCCGATGGATTCGCTTACGCTCGGGAAGTAAAAATTAAGACGGATTCATAAATCCCGGATGTAGGTGATGTATGTTATTTCATAAAATTTAAGTAGGATTTACTTTGCAAAATTTTGCCACCAAATTGTACGTGGGGATGATCAGCCAAATTTTCGTTAAATCTGAATCTACACCATATTCCTAAAATACATGTAATTTGCTTTAACTGGATATATCTGGTGAAACTAGATTCTACTTGTTTCGTTATATACATTTATTCATATATTCACAATAATCAGTTCAGTAGTTTCTGATATTACATATCTGTGTAATAAAATCCACAACATACGATAAACAAGCGACGGGAAACAACTTTTTAATACTCCTGAGGTTACGAAGCGTTGAAAAAACATGAAATTACAAAACTTAAATTTCAAAAGTCGTGAAAATAAAAGCAAAACACAAAATATGCAACATTACTTCTGCATATTAGGAAGATTTCATCTAGTATATTAAGAGCCCTCTGGTCACAACGTCTAACGGATTAATATCAACTTAAGAAATTATAAAGTAGTACACAGTAATGCAAAATCTTTGATCCAATAAGGCTGTAATGCATAATACATAAAACATTAAATTTTTTGTATTTCTGCAGCGAAGTATTTTAATTGTTGAATTTTTTTTTCTAGAGAACGTGATTTTTTAACACTTTTTATTTTAGTTATGTGTTATTTTCATATCGTCGGCAGCGAATAATTTTCAAAAAAAAATATTACAGAAAAAAAATTAAACCTTTAGTAGCACCTACGTTAGGTTTTTATATCATGAAAATTTATGACCTTTTGTAAATCGTGAAAATGATTAGGAAAATGGAGTTCATCGAAGGTCAATAATACTACCATTTATTACATGAACTTCACTAATAATAATGCTTTACTGTTTTCATACTGAATGTTTTGATCTTTTATTTATTACTAATGGATTTAATTTGACAAAATGTTTCACTCCAACATGTTATAAACCTGCTGAATTTTTAATATGTACTGGAAGTTTGGAACAAATATATATGACAAAATAAAAAAAAAACAAATATCTGCAAACAAAGGAACAGGTAATCCATAGGATTTAACGAAAAGCATTTATACCTCGAACTGCCGTCCCTTTGTCCCTTGTTCGGTGAATCTGCGACAAATTCTCGGAAACCCTACTCAATAGGTAACAAGATTCGACCTGTCATTTTGCTGACTCAAACGTCACCGAAACGTCAAATCCCATAACTTTTTATAGCCGATATCAATAGCATTTAAACAAACACTTGAAGTAATTTTTTTATTATCATGATCATTGTCAAACTTTCAAGCCGTTGTTAAAAAGAGGTTACAAAAGATGATTTCCAGTATCTTCTCTTTTATGTCTCTTTTATACGAACACAATGGAGGTCTAATCAAAATAAATAGACGAACAGGAGACATCAGGGCCAAAGTGATTAAACCAAAGTTGTTAACCTGTAATGACGTCATTAAAAAAACAATCCGCTGTGTATATTTATCCAAAGTTTGCTGAAACCAGCTCTGAATTTACTTAAAAAAAAAGACAACTAGACGACCTTTCACTCGACTGAAACCAATTGACCACTGGCAATTACATTAACTTTCGTGCATTTTTTCAGCGTCCGCGACCCCTAAGCCGTAATTTTCTTAATTGCACCAAGAAAGTAGAGAAAGAGAATCGGCTTTATTTATTAGAAATCGAGACGGCTGGGCTAGGGGAGACTCAGCGGGGGACAAAACGGCCGAGAATCGAGGACAGAGATGCACAATCGACATGAATGAACTCGCTCCGTCGGCCTTTGAACCACCGGAACTACCCCCGTAGACAGTTTTTTACGCCTCGCTCAAAAAAATCAAATCATCTCCTGTCAATTCTGTCAAGTTCGCAGCAAATCACCAATTTTCCTCACATCAAGTACGTTGCGATTTTGCCGAATGACAATCGGCAAACAAAGCCCACTACGATTAGTCGTGATAACACATGTCACACGACAACAATAATAAAAGTAACGAGATTTTCGGATGATTCATACCGCTGTGTTCTGTGAAAATGTTGGAGACAGTCTGCCGTCCATCTTTCACTATCCTGGGTCTGCTCCTGGCCGTCCTGATAGAATGGGTTCCAACGTTAACACTTCTTTCCTTGGTGTTCTGGGCGCCCATGTCTACTCATACCCTCCCAGATTGTCACTTAATCCCTCTCTGACGTATGAACACACACATAAATGCACACACTCACTCACCGAAGGGTGGCGAATTCGAAAACAAAACGTCGAACCTACATAATATTCAAACACATCAAGCACGGAACGTCAAAGAATAGTTTGTAAGTAATTCGACATTTTAATATTGATTAAGAACCGACGTTTTGCCAATTATTCGGTCTACATCAACCCCACTAACAGTCTAATCCGCCATATTTAAGAAGTTCGTCTGTCTTTTTCTAACTTCAACGCAGCCGTCTTTGTCTGACGTGTGCATTTCGATCGGGTAGTACGACATATCGACGGCAGAGGCAGCACTGAAGATTCACTCTTGCATTTAAGTAGAAACCGATAACACGAATTTAAAATAAATGATAAAAATTTCAAGTAAAAGTCATTTTCGTTTTTTAGATAAACCAAAATTAGCTTGTTTTAAAATTTTATTACTCAAGTTGTTCAATGTTGCTGGTAGGCAACCAGTTATACACAGGTTGTCAAGTAATCGAGTTTGCGCCGTAGGTTGACATTTAAAGTTTCTTTAAATTTAAAACTTGTGTTCGCGTGATCCGTTAGGTATAACCACGGTGGTAGTATAACAAAGTGAAAACGACGTTCGCCTAATTTGTGCAAAATGTACTGTGATAATTTAATGTTAAGGAATTGTTCGTATCTGCAGGCTCGGGATCCGAGCATATTATGATATAATCGACCTCAACTATCCGAAGTTAAAACAAATTAGCTGACGAATTTGGAGAAACATCCAAACAGCAGCCACAAAAAGATGAGGTAAAATTTTTTTAAAATGAATTATGAATCTGTGACGGTGACGGTGTGTGTGCTGTAAATTCTTCCTATTTCAGAGGTATTTCTGTTACTTTAATACATAATACTTTGCTCTGGTCATTTTCATAAGCGCCTTTTGTCGGTAAGGGTTGCGCTCTCACTGAGAAAACCGTGCTAACGCCATCAATTTGAACCAGGCGCGGATACAGGATTTCGTTCAGGGGGGGGGCAATTTTTGTGCAATTTTACCTATCTACCAGAAATTCGTTTTAAACAAAAAAATTTATAAAATTTTAGCTAGTATACTCTTTTTCACATAACATGGGTGACATTTGGTTCTTTTCATTACACGTATAGTGTACAGTGATAATCCTAATTAATTGGGAAAAAGGTGTGTTCGGATTAACGATTTGTTCGGATCAGCAATTTTCCCAAAAATCTGAAAGGGAATTGAATAACAACTTCATACACAACTGAAAACAAACTTCAAGAAATAAACCAAAATTTTATTAAACAAAAATTAAAGAATTCTTAAGCAACAATGGATGATAATAGATACATTTTAAATAGTACATTATGGAACTAGTGGATGAAGTTGAATTTCAACGGCGAGAGTGATTTTTTCACACGAGCGAGTGCAACGAGCGAGTGCGAAAAAGAAACTCGAGCCGTTGAAATTTCTTCATCCGCGAGTTGCATATACTATTTTTTCTAAGAAATTAGGAAATAACTAGCAGTATTAAACGTCAAACACTAACGGGTCGTCCAGCCTAGGCGTCATGATTTTCGAAGCGCGCGAAGCGGACGGTGCGGTCGGTGCAGGCGATACGCGACACGTTTCGCTAGCTGCGAAACGCTCAGGCTGGACGACCCGTTAAAATCGTAGACGGCCGAGTATTTTTCCACTAGAGGGTGAAATGAAATTTCATCCACTGCCAGCGATGGGAAAATGACAAACTTCAACCTTAATGAGTAGAAAAAAAATATTACTCTGTGACCATAAACACGCTATCTTTTGGAATAAACACCCTGGGATCTATACCCTGAAATTTTTCAGAATTTTTAGATGAATTTTTCAAAAATGAAATTTTCCATTATGTATTCGTATTACCTCCATTATGCAAATTTCGACCCATTCTCGACGATTTTCGAAATTTAACTAAATATTTTCTTGTAGATTTTGGACCTCAGAAGTCACTTCTGGCTTCATTTCTTCGATAACTTAAACCATTTTCCCGAATCGTTGAAATATCGCAATTTTTAAAAATTTTGAAAAATTCGAATTTCACAGCGAATTTTCCGAACATATTGCTCCGTTACCATAAACATGGTATATTTTTGGAATCAGCACGTCGGGATATATATCTCTGAATTTTTTCAGAATTTTTAGGAAATTTTTTCGAAAATGAAATTTTTCTCATGCAAATTTCGACCCATTTTCGACGATTTTCGAAATTTAACCAAATACTTTCTCTTGTAGATTTTGGGTCTCCGATAACTTCATCCGCTTTTCCAGAATTAGTTAATTAATTCAGTGCTTTGAAATATCGCAATTTTCAAAAATTTCAAAATATTCCATACAACATATGCAGAAAGATCTTGCGTCATTTTCGGAAGTAGATGCATGTTTTCAAGTTCAGATCGGATTGCAAAGTTTTTGTTCGGATTAAAGAGGCATCGACTTCAAATAGCCTCTGTTCGGATTACTGGATGTTGAGACAATCGTGAGTTCGGATTATAGAGGTTGTACTGTATTTACAAAATGAAATATGATTTCAAAATTTTGAAATTGGTCAAAATAAAGTACCTCGGTCGTGTGTCAGGGGGGGGCAATTGCACCCATTGCCCCCCCCTGGATCCGCGCCTGATTTGAACTACGAGGACCACTAAATATATTTTCTACCTGACGATGAAACAAAAGACACGATTATAAAACCGAAATGAATAATCCAAATTACCTCAAATTTTCGGTGCAGGGTTAGAATAAATGGTACTACATATTTGACATATTAACGACAACGGTGTCAATGGTTTTTTCATAGCTAGGTAGATAATATTTCTAGTTGCCCTCGTACAAACCTTGATAAATTTTCTTTGTTGTTGCTGTTTTTACTTTGGTGTTATCGCGCGTATTCGAATACTCCAAAAAAATAAATTCTTGTCGAAGCCAAATATGCCTCATGTGCAGTGTACTAAATTAAGCTTTTTCCCCCCTTCATGCGAAAAACAATGACGTTTACAGAATTTGAATATCTATTCATTCTCCAGATATTAGGTCGCGAACTTTTATTTAGGACTTTGTGTAGTAAGAATAGAGGTGGCCCAAGAACGGATCCTTGCAACACCCTATACATAATACTAGCATTAAATGAAAGTTGTCTGCATCGTTATTATCACTTTTTTGCTTACCGAGCGTAAGCTAAGGAAGTATTGTAATAGGATCCATACGACGAATTACGAGTTTAATATTTTCTGGACGTTTCGTGACTTCGAAACAATAGGTCCTGTCTATTTGTCTTCTATTTTGATTAGACAGATAATTTCCGAAACTTCAGGACCGATAAATAAAATTCCCCACAAACAATTAAACGAAGTAAACTCACTTTTTTCATTGTAACTCATTTACATTTTATAAAATAACATACTCCTGCACTTGTGATCTATGAATTCACCTTGAGCTTTTACCCTAAGTATCCAGACTTTTTTTCCTTGTAATGAAATACTTCTGAAAGATATTTCGCGCTTATGACAACTAATTATTCTATACTTGGTAAAAACGTAATTTTTAAAAATTTCTGTGGCTTCTACCGCTCCAGAAATATTATATATAATTTAAATAACCTAATTGTTCCCTTCGGATGCACTGATGTAAATCCAGAAACCCATGTTATATATACAGGATGTTCCAGCGACCTGACCGAAAAAGTACACATTCTGGTGAATTACTGAAAAAAATGTTTGATGATACGATTGACAGAATTCATTTAGGGATATATACATCATTCATGAGAAGCACCAAACCTAAAAAAGTCATTGTTTCCTATTAACTTATAAATTTTGTATTTTTCCTTAAATGTAGGTAGATAGTATTTTTAATCAGTTTTGTTTTCCCCTGAGCTTTTTATCTATAAATTTCTTCTATTTCGTCTTCTTCGTCCTCCACTCCTTTACTTTCTACCATTTTCGTCTGTGCCTCATTTGGGGCTAGGGTTTAAAACATAAAGGAAAACTTTAAAAATTAGTTACAAATTTTGACATAACATTTTTACAGATTTTAAATGCGTTAATCAAAGAGAAGAAAAATGATACCAGACATAAAGGCATTTTGACAGTTTTTAAACAAACTTCTGAACTATATTTTATTTATTAAAAAATTGTATAGTTGCTGAATATGATGTATATTTAAGTAAAAACAAATAATAATTGCATTATTCAGCCAAATCTAAAAACAAGTTGTGCAAAATATTATAAAAAAATTGGACGAAAGTTGTTTAGACAAAACTTCCTTCGCTCCTGAAATACAATTATATTTTTTTTGAGTCACCCTCTATACGCAAATCCAAAAAATATTAATGGAATGATAAATCATAAGTACAGACTCATCATATTTTGTACATTTTAGATAGGATTTATTCAGTAAAATTTTCGGGTGACGTCATCAATTTTTTAGGAGGAATGAGCAAATAATTTTCATATCTATTCATTCTCCAGATATTTGGTCGCGAAGTTTTATTTAGGACTCTGTGTAGTAAGAATAGAGCTGGCCCAAGAACGGATCTTTGCAACACCCTATACATAATACTAGCATTAAATGAAAGTTATCTGCATCGTTATTATCACTTTTTTGCTTACCGAGCGTAAGCTAAGGAAGTATTGTAATAGGATCTATACGACCAATTACGAGTTTAATATTTTCTAGACGTTTCATGACTTCGAAACAATAGGTCCTGTCTATTTGTCTTGTCTATTTTGATTAGACAGATAATTTCCGAAACTTCAGGACCGATAAATAAAATTCCCCACAAACAATTAAACGAAGTAAACTCACTTTTTTCATTGTAACTCATATTTACATTTTATAAAATAACATACTCCTGCACTTGTGATCTATGAATTCACCTTGAGCTTTTACCCTAAGTATCCAGACTTTTTTTTTGTAATGAAATACTTCTAAAAGATATTTCGCGCTTATGACAACTAATTATTCTATACTTGGTAAAAACGTAATTTTTAAAATTTCTGTGGCTTCTACCAGAAATATTTGTAAACATAATTTAAATAACCTAATTGTTCCCTTCGGATGCACTGATGTAAATCCAGAAACCCATGTTATATATACAGGATGTTCCAGCGACCTGACCGAAAAATTACACATTCTGGTGAATTACTGAAAAAAATGTTTGATGATACGATTGATAGAATTCATTTAGGGATATATACATCATTCATGAGAAGCACTAAACCTAAAAAAGTCAGTGTTTGTTTCCTATTACCTTATAAATTTTGTATTTCTTTCTTTAAAAGTAGGTAGATACGCATTTTTAATTAGTTCTGTTTTCGCCTGAGCTTTTTATCTATAAATTTCTTCTATTTCGTCTTATTCGTTCTCTACTCCTTTACTTCCTACCATTTTCGTCTGTGCCTCATTTGGGGCTAGGGTTTAAAAAATAAAGTAAAACCTTAAAAATTAATAATTTACAAATTTTAAATGCGTTATTCAAAGAGAAAAAAATAATACCGGACATAAAGGCATTTTGACAGTTTTTAAACAAACTTCTGAACTATATTTTATTTATTAAAGAATTGTATAGTTGCTGAATATGATGTATATTTAAGTAAAAACAAGTAATAATTGCATCATTCAGCCAAATCTAAAAACAAGCTGTGCAAAATATCATTAAAAAAATTGGTCTAAAGAGTTTAGACAGTACTTCCCTCGCTGTAGGAAACGTGACGACTGCATGCCTATTATGTTTTTTTTCGCAGTAGATTTCAAAGCATTCGGTTTTGTAGTTCCTGAGTAAATCAATAAAATAAATTTACGCATTCATTATTTTTTTTTTAGTCACCCGGTATATGCAAATTCAAAAAATATGAATGCAATGATAAATTACAAGTACAGACTCATCATATTTTGTACATTCTAGATAGGATTTATTCGGCAAACTTTTGAGCTGACGTCATCAGTTTTTTAGAGAAGATAACCAAATATATTTTGACTCCAAATTTATTATGCTCTTTATAATCTTAAAACATCTGTAAGATTTCAAAACATTCAGTTCTGTAGTTCCTGATTAAATCAATAAAATACATTTACGCATTCATTATTTTTTTTGGGTCACCCTGTATATGCAAATCGAAAAAATACGAACGGAATGATAAATCACAAGAAGAGACTCATCGTATTTTGTACATTTTGGATAGGATTTATTCAGCAAAATTTTGTGGTGACGTCATAAATCTTTTAGGGGGGATGAGCAAATACATTTTGATCAAAAACTTACCATGCTTATGATAATTTTAAAACATCTTCAAGATTTCAAAGCATTCGGTTTTGCAGTTTCTGAGTAAATCAATAAAATAAATTTACGCATTCATTAATTTTTTTGAGTCACCCTGTATATGCAAATCGAAAAAATTTGAATGGAGTTATAAATCACAAGTACAGACTCATCATATTTTGTACAGTTTAGATAGGATTTATTCGGCAAACTTTTTAGCTGACGTCATCAAGTTTTGGGAGTGGATAACCAAATATATTTTGACTAAAAATTTATGATGCTCTTCAGCATTAAAAGATCTGCAACATTTCAAAGCATTCGAGTTAGCAGATTCAAAATTAAATTGGAAAATGTTGTTTTATAATTTTAATTTTTTTTTTTTTCCAAAAATCTGTACATTTCGGGTAAAAACTCAATTCGGAGTCGTAAACTACATATGTAGGACTATGTTATTTTATACAATTTAAAACCCATTTACTATGTACAATTTTGAAGTGACGTCATCGCATTAGTGGTGGGGATGATTAGACAAATTTTGGTTAGCCTTTTACCATCTACATGATATTCCTAATATAAGTACAAAATTTCACAACAATCGATCCAGTACTTTCGGAGATTATCTGTCTATCTACCGGGACGGCAGACAGACGGAAATGGGAGACCTATTTCTTCGTCTTCTAGAGGTCATGAAAGATCAAGAAAACGTAAAAGTAGTGAGTCGGCCGACGGACTCGATTACAATACTTCCTTTGCTTACGCTCGGGAAGTAAAAATATAAAATATTGTATTTTATATTGGTAATCGGAATGTCAGCTGTGTTGCCACTTTTTGGTTTCAATTAACAAATCAGAATTTTTAGCAAATATATTGAAACGCAGTTTAAATTTAATAAAACAACGTATTTCCACACCTGTGGTTTATGAATCCGCCTTGATTGTAATTGTAATTCAGGGGCGAAGAAGTTCTGTCAAAATAACTTTAGACCAGTTTTCTCTTTTTTCTTAAAGTGTCAAATTTGCAAAAAAATATATAGGCTATTATATAAACAAGCCTAATATTCGATGCAGTTTTAATTCTTACTGTAATTAACATATTATATGCATCAGTTCATTTCATTTATTTATTTCTTCAGGCTCGAACCATTAACGTATATCTTCGAATTAAAAATGGCTACAACTTCGAAGGCCTCTACGAAATCGAGGACAATACACTCGTCTCAAAAATCCCCCAAGGTTCAAATTTTCTCCGCAACGCTAAAGACGGAGATTCCATGATTAGAAAATACTCCTTCACAAAAATATTTTCTCAAGAAACTGACCAAAGGGAGATTTTCAACTACATCGTAAAGCCAAAAATTCTAGATTTTATCAACGGACAAAATTCCACACTCATGACCTACGGTGCTTCAGGATCAGGTAAAACCCCTCAAACAAACATTAACAAAAACTAATTTTTAACTGATACAGGTAAAACCTTCACAGTTATAGGCACCGACAGAGACTTAGGGAATCAAACAATATAAACAGTTCTCTTTTGGTTCTGGGCAGGTGTATTTCTGCTGTGCGAAATATGCAAAAACAGAATGATAACAAATTAGTACCTTTCAGGGAATCGAAACTGACTCAGTTGTTTCAAAGGGCATTAAATGGCACTGAAGATATATCAATGATTGTTAATATAAGTGCCTCTAGAGATATGTTTGACGAAACTCAGCATGTCCTTAACTTCGCCGCTATTGCCAGGGACATAATCATCGAACAAAAGCCAGAACCGATCTTTAAGAAAAAAAACCGCTTTTCGCAACTAGTTGAACAAAGTTCAGATGATACTTTCAGTTCCCATAGCAGAGAAGATTTAAAAAATGCCATCCGTCACTTGACAGATGAGCTAGAGACTCAAAAAAGTGAGTATGAGACAGAGTATCAGGCACATATTCAGATGATAAGAGAGAAATACGAACAAGCTCTAGACGATTTAGAAGAAAATGCTAAGATAAGAATTAAAAAAGCTGAAAGTGCAGTGAGAATGATGTATGAAACGAAACTAGAGGCTATGAGAACAAAATATGAAAAACTGATTGAAGAAATAGAAATACAAAATGATGCAGACCAACAACTAGAAGAAAGGCAAATTGATGTAATCGAAATTCCAAGTTCAGATGATGAAGATGAAGAATGTTGGAAAACTGAAAAAGAGAGTTATATAAAAGAGATCAAAGAGTTAAGGTCCACTTTAGCTGAAGGAGTCAGCGACTATAAAGAGCTCCACAAAAAATACGTGCTACTTGAAAAAGAAAACGCTCGACTTCGGGGCAGATGCTTAGAATTAGAAAATGAAATCGAGCTTGGATTTCAACCTACGCAGAAAATATTTTGCGAGTCGGAATCTGATGATGAGAATGTGGAAGGTGAGTACTATATCATTTCTTGTATCGCTTACTTATTAAAATTTTCAGATTACAGATTATTAGTCTATGATGAATTTGAAGGGAAATGAGTGTCCAAATCTCCTTAAGTGTTCTATTTCTTCAATCAGTTTTTCATATTTTGTTCTCATAGCCTCTAGTTTCGTTTCATACATCATTCTCACTGCACTTTCAGCTTTTTTAATTCTTATCTTAGCATTTTCTTCTAAATCGTCTAGAGCTTGTTCGTATTTCTCTCTTATCATCTGAATATGTGCCTGATACTCTGTCTCATACTCACTTTTTTGAGTCTCTAGCTCATCTGTCAAGTGACGGATGGCATTTTTTAAATCTTCTCTGCTATGGGAACTGAAAGTATCATCTGAACTTTGTTCAACTAGTTGCGAAAAGCGGTTTTTTTTTTCTTAAAGATCGGTTCTGGCTTTTATTCGATGATTATGTCCCTGGCAATAGCGGCGAAGTTAAGGACATGCTGAGTTTCGTCAAACATATCTCTAGAGGCACTTATATTAACAATCATTGATATATCTTCAGTGCCATTTAATGCCCTTTGAAACAACTGAATATTTTAACTTGAATCAAACATATTTATTTACAGAAAATCCTTTTTCTGTAAATAAATATGTTTGATTCAAGTTAAAATATTCACTCCCTATCCATACATTTTCTAAAGGAACAACGATATTTCTTGTCTTGATATCCTATCAAGACAAGAAATATCGTTGTTCCTTATCAAATGGTGACTAAAATAAAAATAACAGAAAACATAAAATACTTTTTTAAACAAATGTGTCAATGTTTTCACATAAAAAACCCTCTTCTGGTCTTCCTCAATCATATGTTTGCAATATTTAAACTTCTCCATGATTAAGTTGATATCATTGATTCGTACATATATTTTCATACAGCCCATGGAGGTAGAATAATCATATTACCTCCATGATAGAAACCAATTTATTAGTAAATATTTTAGAAAACAGAAACGTAGTGTATATACCTTATATGTAAAACTCAGTTTTTGTATGCTGAAACCAATTTCACAAAAAAAGTGAAAGAAAACAACTCTTCGTGTTCTACAGTCATATTTTGGCGCCTAAGGTCTCCAGCAGCAGGTCTCCGATTTTCGGCCTGAATCTCATGCCTCCGTCCGGCGAAGTGAAATCTCGGATCGAAGAACTGGTAAAGCAATATTTGCGTATACATGGTCACTGGTCAATTTTTTATGTGACATGAGTTTGTTTCGAGTCACCAATTAGTAATGCTGATGTGAAGTTCTCCTTTTAGTAAAATGTGGTGACTTGGCATTCGTCACAATACATGTTACTGTTGTGCTGCTTCACATAAAATCTCCGGCTAAACTACAGGGTCGACCTCGCAACCGTATTGACACTTTGTGAAAGCACTTTAACGTCGTCAACAATTTTTTGCGACCAAAAACAACAGTTTTGCAAGTTGCAGAAGTTATAACAACCAATTTTACAGTATTTTAAAACATGTCAATAACAAATTTTGAACGTTTTATTCAATGTTACTTCGATTATTTATTACTTTGCTCCAATTATACGCAAACAATTATGAATCTTCTGTTAAAATACGCACAAGAAACAAGATTATTACTTGCAATGTAAAAAAAAGCATTTACAACTGTTTAGATTTACTGCTCAATGTTTATACATTTTTCTCATGTTTTAAACACTCGCATTTACAACTTTCAAACATAAATGAGCAAAAGCAAATTAATCCCTAAATTATTAATTAAAATACAGTATTCTAAAACAAGAACTGCAACACAAACTCTTATTAAACTACTTTGTTAGTTTTATAACAAATTTATGTACACACTTTCAACCTTCTAAGATCAATATTATAATAGTCAATACTAACTTCTGCTCTTGTGTAGTAGTTTAGCAAATTTTATATAATCATTGAAAACTACATGCAATAATGCACTGTATAAAAAAATTAATACAAACGTTACTTTCTTAAAACTTGTAAACTTTTCATTAACCAAACGATTTCAATATAATTCTTTGTAATATTGGTGCCTAGCTGACAGTAATCATTTAAGCTCAATATGCCCTGGCCAAAAGCCTTCTTACTGTTGGATATTGACAAAAAAATAAATACAAAAATCCAATTTACACAAAACATTTAGCACTGAACAAATTGTGTGATAAAATGATTACAAATTAAACCTGAACGAAAATGTGAAATATCCATCCTTTGAAGGAAACATAACATTTATACTTTTTATGCTATTTACCAATTCCTATAAGCGATGCTTTAAACTTTACTAAACTGATAGTATCAATTACATGAATGCATTTCTTCTTTGAGATTGATCGCTTTGGTTATTTTACCAACATTTCTTCACAAGAGTTTTCTGTGTTGAACGCTAAGCTTGTTACTTTTTTTCTGCTATGTTGGAACCTGTATTTCTGAAAGATACAATGGTTTAGTGCTTCGTTCCATTAAAACTGAATTACAAATTTTCCTCCCCAAGTAAATACCTGAAAAGGTCGTTATACAGACGTAGTATATGACACAGTCCTTAATTTCGGCGAATGAGGTATCGATCTCTAAAATTTCATCGATTTTCCAGTCTGTTTCATGAATTAATCCGTTTAGTCGAGTTTTTAAATGGTCGATGGCACGCGGTTCTTGATGTTTGTCTTGATAGGCTGTTCGTACGTCTTCTAATGTTAACAGCGTAATCGGCGCTTTATCTTCTGTTACAGAGCAGTTTCCATATTTTGGTGGTTTTAATAAAGAATAAACTGATAATAATTTATAGAGCTGTAGAAATGTCGGTGTAGCAGGATGATCATTTTGACCACCAGCCAGTCGAATAGGCCCAAAAAATTTCTGCAAATTTAAGTTTGAAGCATATACAATTATTTTTATTTCTTTATACCTCTAAAGAGTCTTGATTAATCTTGCCTGTAAGTAGATACGAGAAAGAATATTTTTCTGTGATATACAGGGTTAGTCACGAGAGAATTACTTCTGAAAATTATTTTTACGCAATCCAAAATACGAATACCATGTACCATTTGATACTAACTGAATTTAAAATGAAATGCTTAATCCATGATTGCTTTGAGTTTGGCAATCTCATTTTGACAATTGTGGAAAAGGAGGTTACGCGAGTGTCCATGGTGGTACCGCAGCCAGTCGGAAATCTCCTCCGGCGCCGCTAATAAATTTGTCAGTGTGCCTCTTGATCTTTTGCAACCGATTAATCACGAGAAAATTATTTCTAAAAATTCCTTTTACGGCATTTTATTCAAAGGTTACAACTCAAACTCAAACAAGTAAGTAAATAATTTAACTACTAATCTGTTAAAAATGTTGGGCATTTTGGGGGGATGCTACGGCTTTTTTGTAAATGGATGGCCGAAGAAGTCCAGAGGTTGCAGATTTGCACTTCGAAGAGGCTCTAGGTGACGCAGAGATGGCGAATTAACACATGCACATTAGCGGCGAACAACATTGGTAGAGCACTTACGGTTTCAGTACAGCCCAAATTGATCTGACTATATGTCGTCGATCCAATGGGGCTCTAGAGACGAGTCAACGATGAAAAAAAATGTTAAAAATTAATTAACGTCAAAGTGACACTGCCAAAGTCAAAGCAATCATGGATTAGGCATTTCATTTTAAATTTAGATAATATCAAGTGGTACAGGGTGTTAGTATTTTGGGTTGCGTAAAAATAATTTTCAGAAGTAATTCTCTCGTGACTAACCCTGTATACACAAAGATCCAAGGCTGAATGTAAAGTCACACGCAGTCCTTCAGCGGTGTTTTTTGTTAAAAATTCGGAAGAATCAATTTTTCCCGATTTGTAATTGTCCTCCCAGTCATTTAACCACCTAATGGAATCCTTAATAATTGTATAGTCTCTGGAACCAGGCCGTACTCCGTGGGCGGGAATTTTCCGATTCAAAGAGTCGAACATATTGTTAATTTTTAAGCAAAATTGACTTGTTGCTAAACAGTCTTGAAGTCTTGGTGTACCTTGCGTCATATATAACTTCAATCCATCGGCCACCGATTTACTGAATATCTAGAAGTAGAATCAATTAATAAATAGGTTGGTAATTGCGGACGTCTCTAATCATGAGGTAGGTATTGTATTGTAGTATGAATTGGTATCAATATATTTAAAGACAACCTTCTCGTCGTTTGAAACACAACCAGTTCTGTTTACATTGTTTATTAATTAATAAATGTTTCCTAAGAATGTAATATTTCAATTTTAATATATGTATATATTATATATACATATAACGAAGTTCAGAGCAGTCGAATGGAATTCTTTTGCATTTTTTTTTTATTTCACAAAAACATGCAAAAAAAAAGGAAGCTAATGTTTGTATTCGGTAATGAATTTATAAATACGCCGAAAATTACACATGCAATGTCTATTACACAATGTTGTTTGTTTAACTCTTTTGAAACAAAAGCCAAACTGAATGTGATTCATCCAGTTCAATTTCTAAAGTTTTAAATTGCATATCTAGTTAATTACATGATGACTGCATATACAACAGAAAAAAAGAAATAAATTCTGAAAAACAGATATTTTGACTCTCATGAATATGGTTTAGTTAGGTATCATGAAAAAAAAATATGTAGGTATCTCTTGAAAATTGTGATGTATGTTTATAATGTATACCTGTGTTGCTAATTTAACCCGCATCTTTCCCGTATTTGATAAATTAACGTGGTTATTAGTAATTTTTGGACATGCACGTAAGTTTGCGGGCAGTTTCAACTCCTCTTCGTGCATTACGCAGAAATGGTCCCATTTAATGCTGTCATCTTCTGGACTTATCTGAAGAAAAAATATATAGCAACCTAGTAGATGTTGTATGCTTTTACCCAAATTACTCTCAGAGCGCCATTATTGAACAGCCTATTTCTGATAGTTTTTATCAAATGAGGTGTATCAGAAAAGACAAACACTTTTCTTTCTGGGGTCAGAGGATGTTCAAAAGAGTTTCTGAACGAAACTTGATCCCCGTTAACACCTACAATTGACCAGGCTTTTCTGTTTGTTTGCGCTCCATCACAAACAAGTCCATGAATATATTCTCCTGCATTTTCAAGCAAAATAATTGCCTTTATGACCAACTGGGCAATAGTGGTTCCTTACAACAAATTAAAATTTGTTAAAAATTGATTGATTATTATCATTGATGATTTTGAAATAAGGCGTTAAATTTAATATCACATGAGAGAAGAAATCAAGACATCAAGTTATTGATTGTAAGATAATTGCGTTCACTGAAAACAATATATTGGTGGGGGCAGCTTCACAATCGCTACCCCGTGGAACGTAAGTTTCCGAGTAATTACACGTTCGATTTCCAGTTCTATGAACACTCTTATTTACCAAATCAACACTCTTAATTTTTTTCAGTAAGTTAGGTACTGTATTACAAAAATATTACTGTCAGCAGTTTTTACTGGGACATCCTGAAAGAATACTTTTTTATAACAACAACTTATAATGGTTCCAGTTTTGCTCCTAGTCTAACGATATGTAATTTACAGTGTGTTGGTTCTTTGTGCCACTATTTTCCAAAAATTCTAATGCCTATAATGAAATTAATGAAATTGCATCAAG